TAACCATTTAGTTCTTTTTCCTGGTGTGATATAGGTGAAAGAGAGTAAGTCTTTTTTGCTAACCCCCAACCAGGAGACATTGACATTGGTTTTACATCCCCAGACAGCATAACAAAATACTTTAGGCCCCTCATACTACAGAGTTTGCTTTTTCCCCCAGACAAATATCTCATTTAGAATATTTGCATGCAGAACAAGAGTTTCCGGGGGGTTGTTTAGTATCCTGTCAAGAGTCTTTTGCTAAAGCACATAGATCAAAAGTTAGCTGGGGGGACCACGTATTCAGGGGATGAACTCCAGTGGCTAGCCTTAAGGCTTGCCCAGTCTCAAAGTTAGTCAGGGTCCAGGTTAAGTCCTGAGGTATAAACATCAGGGCAAAGATCAGCAAGCCTGGCAGAATCAGGCCTTCTTGAGAGGATTTTGGGTACGCTGAAGCGTTCATTTGGAAGATCCTGGGTTGTCCTGTGGAGGTGCAGGCTTGACGTAAGATGTGTGGATCCAGGCTGCAATGCCATCCACTTTGAGGGTAGTCATCCCAAGTGGGCTGATGGATAACCAGAACAGATTCTATAAGCCCGGTCATGGTCTGAGGGTCCCAAGAAAAGGAAGTAAAGATTAGAGGCAGGAAAAAAGCAGTATTGTAATTGGCCTGCTACTGAGCAAAGGGGAAATGCTTTGGAGGTCATTCTCTCCCTAGCAGATGTCCCTCCCCTGTCCCAGCATAGACTCTGAGTGCTGAAGTTTTCAGGGCTAGGGCCCGACCAGTGTGGCTCCTCAGGAACGAAGTGTTTCCTCCAGGGGAGGAGGAGGGAGAAATCTACCATGCTTGGCTGGATATCAGGAAGAACTGGAGGTGCCAGGATTCTGGGTTTCTTTCGCTCCTGTACAGAGAAGAGAGAAGACAAAAGGCTTGGAGAGGGGCAGCCACCACATTGCCTTCTCCAGCGGCAAGCTGGAATCAGGGGAACTGATAATGGCCAGGGGGCCGATGACAGGTTCTGAATTCCTATAGGTGAATTTTAACAAAGACAAACTGACATACAAAAACAAAAATACAAAGAGACAGACATAAACTCAAAACCAGAAGCTGGCGCTCTCATCACCACTCTGGTGCAGAACTGAAAATACATAAGAACAAAAAGACAGACATAGACTCAAAATTAGAAGCCGTGTGGTAGCAGATCCAAAAATACAGATGGAGGATCACGCCCTTCTGGAGACTAGGGTGCTGCCCCTCTCTCCCATAAATGCCCGTGAAACATTTTTCAGGGCTAGGGCAAGGGATCTCAGGACACGTCTTCCTCCTCCCTTAGCCCCATTTCAAAACAGACCCTGTGCAAGTAAAATTCTCAAATTACTTATTCACAATTATACAGAAACAGAAACATAATATACAAACAGACAGACGCAAAAAATGAACTCGTTTCTTTATACCTCCAACTAGGTCTAGAGTGTGTCTGAGAGCGACTTGATTCCCGGTCAGGAAACCAAATGTTGGACTCTAGTGTCCAAACCGAGAAGGAGTTGCCCCCAGAGACCACCTCATATACCACAGCTGATGCAAAAGCATGAGGATTTTAATAATTCTGTCATGACAGGGTCCCTCAGCATTCGGGAAGCTGAGAGACCTCAAATAGCTGGTACAGTCTACTTTTAAAGGAGAAGGCCCCATAGAAACAAGAGGGGTTGTTCCTTGACCATTATTATCAATAATTGGCTGGAGAGCTATTGTCAGATCAGATGAGGTAAGAGGTCATTTTTGACCCCGTTTCCCAGGGGACTGAATCAAAACATACATGTATGGGTAATTGTTCAGGAACTGAGTATGTGCATGTGTAGCTGTTAGGTCCTTGGTTCCTGGCAGGGAAGGGAAGCACTAAGGCATGAAGGCTGAGAGGGTTCAGAAATGGCTTCAGAAATGTCTTAAAGTCTTACAAATCAGACACCAGACAGCTACTTGAAGGATGTTTAGACCAACTGCGTCACTTGTGAAGGACACTCTGCAGCCTGTTCATTTGCCTGTAGGCTGTGCAGTGTTTCCAGGGTCCCAGCTTTTGTGAGCTGTCACCCATGCTGAGGGTGGGTTATAATGACGCACCTGTCTTTGAGTCATTTTTGCTCTTGTAAGCAATACCTCACCCATATTTCTGTAAGTAACCACAATAAAACTCATTGGCTCACTGAGTTGGACTTTGGTGGTATCTCTACTTTGGTGTGTCCTGGGTTCCCTATCTGAGGAGAGTAGACATATGCTTCATTTCCCTATGAAAAGTTTTGTCACACAACAGTACCTCCTTGTTGTTGGGGATTCTGCCTTGCTCAGTTCCTGCAATCGTTAAGTCCTAAAGAAATTACACAGAGGTCTATATTAGTTATAAACTGATTGACCCATTAGCTCAGGCTTCTTACTAACTCTTACAACTTATAATAGCCCCTGATTCTTGTCTGTGTTAGCCGTGTGGCTTGGTACCTTATTCAGAGAGGCAGTCACATCTTGCTTTTTTTGTTGCTGGGCCAGGATTGCAGAGGAATGGGCTTCCTTCTTCCCAGAATTCTCCTGTTCTCATTGATCCACCTCTACTTCCTGTCAGGTTGTCCCACCTATACTTCCTGCCTGACTACTGGCCAATCAACATTTATTTAAAATATAATTGACAGAATACAGACCATTGTCCCATACCACTTCCCTTTCTTCTTTTTTAAAAAAACAAGAATTCTGAATCTAATATCCTTTGTTTAGCTTTTCTCCTGACCATTAACCATAACAACTTGTAACCAACATCCTAAACAAAGGAAAATATCCATAGTCCATTTTTTGGGAATATGGGCATAGTTTTTTATGGTACTTCCTTTTGGTTGGGGGTGCTGATAATCTTATGGGGACCTAAAGAAATTTTATAATTATCATCAAGTCATGACTAGCGTATCCTGTGAGGCTTGATCATCTCAGGCAACAGTCTTGAATCTGTTCTGGATGTAGAACTCAGACATCTGGGCCATTTGCTCCTATTGGAGATTTCTCAGGTGATCTTCCTTGATCAAACCTGATTTTTCTTAACTCAGAATGAATCCACAGTCTCTCATTCTCTGTGGAAAAAAAAAAGCAAAATCTCTTCTCCAAAGTAACATATTTTAAGTCAAAGTATTTTCAGAATACCTATCTTGGATCAATTCAGGAGCATTTATAAACAAATATCTTTTAGCAGCTGTTGCTCCTTTCTTAGCATTCAAACTATTCAAAGAGAACATAATAACATACAGTATCCAGACTCTCTGTGTATTTTCATCTTTACATGGCTTTATTTTTAAACTCTATTTCTTTTATTTTTATTTTTTGACTTTTTGAAACAGTTTCTGTGTATCTTTGTCCTGGAATTCACTGTGTAGACCAGGTTGTCCTTGAACTCACAGAGATCCTCCTGTCTCTGCCTCCCAAGTGCTGGGATTAAAGGAGTGTGCCACCACACCTTGAATTCACAGAGGTCTGCCTGCCTCTGTCTCCCAAGTGTTGGGATTAAATGTGTGTACCACCACACCCAACTATTCTCTTTCTTCTTTTTATTTTAAGAACTTTAACCTTTTTCTTTTCTCTTCCAAGCCTGCATATATATTTTTAAACACATTGTAAACCATTTAGAGGTTTTTTTTGCCTTTGAATCTATCTTTTTATCTGTATATTTATCTGTATATCTCTCTTTTTCTGATCACATGAGTTTTTATTTGCTAAGCAATATACAGAGTATTAAAGGCATGGCTTTGACGGATGGATCCAACCCAATTTTTAGCTTTCTAAGATTCCAACATCATTGTGGAGGTATGGCCAGAGTCATGTTTATTGCCACAACTCTTTGGCATTTCAAGGTCTCTGCCACCAAATAAGCTCCAGCAGTCTGCTCACAAACCACATTCAAATGCTCTGTAGCTAGATCTCCTGCCTGAAGGAGTCAGAGTTTGCACTGGCAGGATGGCCCAGAAAGCTGGTGTTTTAAAACAGTGCAGCTTTTTTCCTGCTATGGCTGAAAACCAAAAAGTATGCAACCAGCTTTTCATCAACACCATTTAAGTGTTTCGTGGCAGGACCTTTTAAAAGAACTGCAAGGGTTTACAGCTAAAACTGAGTCAGGAAGGCTCTCTTAAATAAGACACATTTGCCTCTAGAAAACAGAGCCCACCTGAGAAAATGCTGCTATCAGTAAGATGTGCTTAATTCTTTTTTTTTTTGTCTAGAATTACTTATCAAGCTCTCTCGGGCTTTATGTAGATGCAGTTGTTCACATAGGTGCCATTTGTTGTTGGGGATTCTGCCCTGCCCAGTTCCTACAATTGTTAAGTCCCAAAGAAATTACATAAAGGTCTACATTAGTTATAAACTGATTGACCCATTAGCTCAGGCTTCTTACTAACTCTTACAACTTAAAATAGCCCATGATCTTGTCTGTGTTAGCTGTGTGGCTTGGTACCTTATTCAGAGAGGCAGTCACATCTTGCTTTTTCTGTGGCTGGGCCAGGATTGCAGAGGTACAGGCTTCCTTCTTCCCAGAATTCTCCTGTTCTAATTGATCTGCCTCTACTTCCTGTCTGGTTGTCCCATCTATACTTCCTGCCTGGCTCTGGCCAATCATCATTTATTTAAATATAATTGACAGAATACAGACCATTGTCCCACACCACCTCCTGGGTTTTATAAATGTAAAATTCCATTTATACTTTGTAATTAGTGAGCATATTATGAGGAGCCATTTTCAAGGGCAATTATATTTTGTTTTCTATTATTGACCCTGATTGACAATTTTCCAGAAGATAAATGTACTAATCAGGATGAACTCAGTTATGCTGAGAGGATCTGGGTAACCTTGTACTTTGCTGATGGAAACTGAGATGTGTGTGATTAGTTCACAACCCTCCAACCCTATCTTCCAACTCCTGAACCCAGTTGGGGGTGAGCAGGGCCACTCCCCCCCAAAAGAATGTTGAGTTACATTCTTATGGGAAACATCACAACCAGCTACAGAACCTTGAATGCTGTGGCTAGGGCAACCTCTGACTCAGGTATCACTTGTGAGGCTTGCCTCTCTTGTGTTAGCTGCGCGGTTAAGGCCTGGTGTCTTATAGTGACTAGGACAGTCTGTCTGATTTTGATGTCCTGGGTCTTTAGCCACTTAGTGTGCCCTAGAGGGACTTTTCTAAGGAAGTAGTTGTAGAACTCCACGGGTTTTCCCACAGTGGACCCTGGTGAACTGCCAATACTTGATAATTCACCAATCAGTTACCAATGCTGCCCACTCAACTGGCTTCATACTTTGACTAACCTTGATACCCCAATCAACTCTCTTTTTGAAGAAAAGGTATTCTGAACTCTTCATTCTGTGACCAGATAAGTTTCTGATCTTGAACCAACTTGTGGATTTTACATTTACTGGAGTAAGTGGTTCTCCCAACATAGTGGTCAGGCACCCAACACAGGCAATCCAGGCAGTGATTCCATGTGGCAACCAGGACCGTGTTGGATGGAGACGAACCCTGATGCTTCCAGACAATGTAGAAAAAGGAAACAGCAGGATGAAGGAGGCACGGAGTTGGATTCTGAACTTTTGGGACATGGTGGGAAACTGAAACGCCAGGATGAGGGTAGAACGGATTGGGAGTTTGAAGAGCCCAGCAAGGCTTGGATAGCTCAGGAACAGCAAGACCTATGGCTTCAAAATCAACAACCAGTCAAAGAGCAGCCACGGAAACCCCAGGAAGAGAGTCCAAAACAGCTAAAGCCCCTGGAGTGGGCCAAAGGTCCATGGGAGCAGGGTGTAACTGAGAGAAAGTCTGCTGATTGTGGCAAGGGTCGTAAGCGGCCCTATTGTGTCATGGAGGAATTTGCCCAAGACCATCAAAGGGAAAAGTACCGAAAGTTACAACAGCACCTTCAACACAATGGTGACACAAACTCTGACCCACCCAGGGCTCACACAGCCCTCATGGATACTTTGAACACCAAAGGTTGTGGGAAAGAGCAGAGTCATGGATCCAGTCCAACTCAGTGTGATCCTAAACAATCTGTTGCTGTTGCCACAAGAGAATGTCTGTCACCAGACAATAGAGTAAATATGTCTACCGAGGAAACATCTGATACACAGAACGAAGATGGAGTTACCCTTGAAGAAAGAAGACGACACCACTTGGAGTCTGACTTGCAAAGAACACAGGCTCAAATCCTGCATAGTGGCAGCAGCAGGTTACTCCCCAACAAGATGCCCATATTTACTACAGAGAAAAAACCTGTTCAAGGCCAGGGAAAGGGCAGAGGAACAGACGAAGTCCTTGATGTTACCGAGGACATGGAAAAAGAAATCAAGAAGGCACTAGGCCCAGGACCCCAAGAGGAAATCTTAAGTAGTGCATTTAAATTGAAAATTACTAGAGGAGATATCCAGACACTAGAGACTGGTCAGTGGCTTAATGATGAGGTAATTAATTTTTACATGAATCTTCTGGTTCAGCGAAATGACACTGAAGGCTACCCTGCTCTTCATGTGTTTAGCACTTTTTTCTACCCTAAGCTAAAAAATGGCGGCTACAGTGCTGTTAAAAGATGGACTAGAGGAATAAATCTATTTGAAAAGGAAATTATTTTTGTGCCTATTCATCAGAAGGTACATTGGAGTCTAATAGAAATCGACCCAAGGAAACGCAGTATTTTGTATTATGACTCAATGGGACACACAGGGCAGAGTATCTGTGAGACCATCTTTCAATATTTACAAAATGAGAGCAAGACTCGAAGGAACATGGAGCTGGACCCTTTGGATTGGAAGCAATACAGCATGACATCAGCGGAGATTCCTCAACAGCTGAACGGGAGCGACTGTGGCGTATTTACCTGTAAATATGCAGATTATATTTCTAGAGACCAACCTGTCACCTTTTCTCAGCAGCACATGCCCCTCTTTAGGAAGAGGATGGTATGGGAGATCCTGCACAGTCACTTGCTGTAACAACATCCTCCCGGTTGCTATGTAACCCTGTATTTTTCCATTGATGCTTCTACACACGTCATTCAAGATGGGTTAAAAATATTTAAAACAGATACTGAGCTGTCCAAAACGCATAGAGCCAGCCCACTCTCTTCAATGTAGTCCTAATTTGCAGAGTCCTGCCCAGTGCTGCCTGTAGGATGCTGTAACTACCGCAAGCTTAGGAACTGCTGTTCAACCCTCATAAGAACACATGCTCAAAAATACTGTTTCAATGTTGGATTTAATTTATGAATTTTTTTTTGTCTTCTGGTCTCCCCATGATTGTTTGTTTTCATAAACCCATTTGCAAATCTTGGCAGTTGTTTTCCAATATCCTGTAACTCACAACTCAAAAACTTGTACAAAACCTTGTGTACACTGTTTATCTCTGAAAGGAATACCCATTATAGTGTTATTCCCGCTGAAGACCAGGAGGGACATCAACAAGAGGAGGCAGGCAGTGTTGACTAGCTTCTCTAATGCTGAAGTTGGATCTGTTAAATTGAGGCTGGGGGTGTGTTTTTATGTATTTTTTAAGTTTGAATTACTACAAAAAAAGAAAGGAAAATGAATTGTACAGGCTGAATCTTTTCTGACCCATCAAACTCTATTGGACTTGCGTAGGTGGTAGACATATGTGACCATAAGATGTGGGCAAGCTACTGTCTGCCTGTAAAGGACTAATGTAGACCTGTGTAGTCATAGGATGTGGCCAAACTGTTGTCTGCCTGCCCAGGACTGTAAAGACAAGCATCATGATTTTTCAAAGACATAGTCTTTACCAGAATTAAGAAGACACACTTCAGTTTTGGAAATTTATTAGAAATAACTTTAATGGTAAATATCCATTATTATCTCATGTCTCATTGAATCCAAACCTCAGCTTTGCTAGGGCTATGTTGAGTTATTTGAAAAGCTTCATTTGATTTAAAATATGTTTTCCATTTAGTTTGTTAGATTAATAGGGCTAAATTCCATTACCTTTGTGGAAGTGGGGATTTCATGTTTAACACTGATATTTACAATTATACAATAATCTTTTTTGTGTGTGATAAACTTGTATTTAACTTTTCTGTTCATTATGTTACAGTTGTGTTCATGCAATTTTTATGTAATAAAGTTTAAATTTGTTAAAAAATAAAAAGAAAATAAAAAGTATACTATAAATTGTCATTCTGAATGTTTTTCTTTCTTCCTGAAGAATTTCCCTCAAATTTAAGCTCATGAATATGGGTATATATGTCAGGACATTTTAAATATTCTCTTTCTAAGAATAAACAATGTAGAACTTTGTTGGAAAAGTATGTCACTGGTGGGCTAGGGTTTTGAGTGTGTATTGTCTCTCCACTTTCCTGTTATCTCTGTCTGATCCCAGTGTATGAATGAGAATGTGATCAGCTGTTTTCTTGCTCCTGCTCTCAGCCTTCCCCTGTCTGTTGCCATGACTTCCCTGTCATAATGGAAGCTGCCTCTCTAGAATCACAAACTAAATAAAAAGTTTTCTTTAAGTTGTTTTTACTGTGCTATTCTAGCACAGCAAGAGACAAGTAACTAATATACCCATCTCCTTACTCTTCTAGTAATTTTTCATTTGCCCTGTCTTCTTCAAGCCATCTGCTAGCCTTGTCCTTCCACATCACAGAACTGCATTGTAGCCATTGCAGAAGTAATACCATTTGACCCTACAACCTAGTTTACAAAGCTATGGACATTAGACATAAGGTATGAATGGCCATATGACCTATGCATTATTGATAGATCTTTTCCTATCCAAATGACTCAATTATAATCCTTTCCTGAGTCAGAAACTTAGCATAAAAGCATAATCATTATTTTAGATATTTGACAGAATACTCTCAATTAGAAAATTAAATGAGGCGACTTTCATTTTCACCAGGACTGAGTATCCAGTTCCAGACTGTGGTGGGGTGACTGAGAATGCCCCCATAGTCTCATGTATTTGAATACTCACTCCCCAGTTGGTGGAATAATTTGGGAAGGATTAAGAGGTGTGGCCTTGTTGGAGATGTGTCACTGAGGATGGCCTTTGAGGTTTCAGTAGCCCATGCCGTTCCCACTTAGCACTCTCTCCTCCCTCCCCCTACTTCTCTTTCACTATCCCTTTTTCTCCCCCCACAAATACCTTATTCATCATATATAAGCTCCCAGCCACTGCTCCACTGTCCACTGCCATGAATGCTGACATGGTTCATGCTATGATGGTCACGGACTCTAAACCTCTGGACCTATGAGCCCCAAATTAAATGTTTTCTTTTATAAGTTGTCTTGGTCACGCTGTTTGTCACAGAAATAGAAAAGTAACAAGGACAAAAGCTGGGAGTGGGGCTACAGCTGTGACAGGCCTGACCATGCTGCTTGGGGGAGAAATGCGAAAGGCTTTGGGACTTTGGACGAGAGGAACGCAGTTGACTACTGCAAGTGGGGCTTCATGGGCCATTCTAGTAGGAGCCAGGGCTGCAATGGGAACAATATTAGCAAATGAGTGAGATACCATTCTTGTGATATTTTGGTAAAGAATGTGACTGCTTCTTGATCTTGTCCTAAGAATCTGTGTCAGGATAAACTGAAAAGTGTTGCACTAATTTCCTTAGCAAAGGAAATTTCAGGAGCCTAATATTGAGTCTGTCATTGGTTTTTAGTAATGACTTTTAAGCAGTTCTGTAATGCAGAGGAGCAAGTGGGGGAAGAGGAATTACAGAACATACAGTGTAAGAAGAAATGGAGTAGCAGACGTTAGGGTCTGGGAGGAGTCCTGTCATAGACCTCCAGTCACAAATGCAATAAACAGAATGCTGTGTGACAATGGTCTTGTACTGGTTTAATAAAATGCTGATTGGCCAGGAGCCAGGCAGGAAGTATAGGTGGGGCAACCGGGCAGAAAGTAAAGGTGGGAAAAGAGAACAGGAGAATTCAGAAGAGGAAAGACTCAGCCTGCAGTCATCAAAGAGGAAGCCAGACACAGAGAAAGTAGGATGAGAATGCCTCGCTGATAAAAGCTACCAAGCTAACACAGGCAAGAATTATGGTTTAATGACAGAAACCTCTGGCAACACAAGTGCACATTAATGTTAATGAAGCTTTTTTTTTCACCTTCTCCCCCAGTTTACGTTTCATCAAAAGCTGTGGAAAAATAGACACAGGTGATTTCCAGACTCTGAGTGATCCCTGAAACTCCCTCTCGATAATGCCTTGTGGTTTCTGTCTTTATTCCCACACCCCTACACTGGTAAGAGAATATTTTTGTTGAGGCCAGGCCTCAAAAACAATTTCTACATACCAATTCCAGTTCCCCCTTCCTCAGCTCCTCCAACTGCTCCCCCTCACTCCCTCCATCCCACCTCCCATTTTCTCCTCCAAAAAGTTAAGGTCTTCCCTGGGAAGTCAACTATGACTGTTGCATCACCACATTGAGGCAGGACCAAGGTCTTCTTCCACTCCTCATGCCTAGGCTGAGCAAGGTATCTCTACATAGAGAGCGGGCTCTACGAAGTCAGCTTCTGTATTAGAGTTAGCACCTGGTACTGCTGCCAGTGACCCCGTACATGGCCCAAGCCACACCATTGTTATCTGTTTTAGGGGACCTTATTTGGCCCTATTTAAGTTCTCCAGTTGTCAGTCAGCAGTCAGTGAGCTCCCACTAGTTTGGGTCATCTGATTCTGTGGGTTTCCTCATCATGGTCTTGACTCCTTTGTTCATATTATCACTTGCCCCTCTGTCTGGATCTCAGCTCAGTGGTAGTTGTGGATCTCTGTATCTGCTTCATCTGTTTCTGGAAGAGGGTTCTAGCTTCTCTGGGGTTGTGGACCTATAGGCTGATTGTCCTTTGGTTTAGTCTGATATCTACTTATGAGTGAGTACATGATATACTTTTCTTTCTGAGTATGGGTTGGGTACATCACTCAGGATGCTTTTTATAGTTTTGTCCATTTGCTTGTGAACTTAAAAACGTTATCTTTTTTTTTTACTGCTGATTAGTACTCCATTATGTAAATGTACCATATTTTCTTTATTCATTCTTCAATTGAATGACATCTAGGTTGTTACCAGTTCTGACTATTACAAATAATGCTTCATTGAGCATAGTTGAGCAAATGTCCTTGTGGTGTGATTGTATCTCTTTGATGTGGCCCCAAAAGTAGTATTGCTGAGTACTGAGGATGATGATGTGATTTTCTTTATCACTGATGGTGAAGCCTCTGGTCTGAGCAGAGGTTTTTTATCTCTCTCTAGCCTTTTCCTTCTATCCAGTTATGAAGTCTTAAGGCTTTTCTCTCCCGCCTTGTGTATACATTAATTTTCTGTGACTTTTCAGATGAAGTTCTAAAATATTGCACCTATAACTACCATTTTCTGACCTTAGAGTACCTTGTCATGACAGAGGCATGAAAAGAAGGGTAGGGCTTGAAGTTTTTTGATGATTGTTCCAAAATTATCTACTCATGGTATTTTCTTTTCATTGTTGTCAGATATCAGTTTATCTCATGAATGAAACTAGTGTTATGAAGCTGTTCTTAAGTAGTACAAGTCAGAGATGCCACTTTTGTTAGGACTGAGGATTTAGACGTTAACACTGGCAGTAAAAACAGAATGAAGGCACAGTATGGATCTTACAAGAGTTGTGGAAGGAAACGAACCTTGCCATTCAAAACACATTGAGGATAAAGTTGTTTTCAGGTGCAGGTTTCGAAATCCTTTCTGTGAGATAAACGTCAGGCTGTAGACAGGTTGTGTGGATACTAAGACTTTTGGGCAAAAGACACCATTTTAACTAATATGGAGTCCTTTGTTCCCTTTTGCTTTCTCCGGTTTCTTATGGAAAAGTACTTCCTGAGGGAAAATAATCTCTCTGCATTCCTGTGATTATTTTGACTTTTTAGTCACAAGAAGATATTCCACATTTCTATTACACAAGAAAGAAAACTGTGAAGAACTTGAAGTACAATGGTTTTTGAGTGGACAAAAGTTTCTTGGGCGATTCAATTAAATAAAAATGTCGTACAATAAAAGGTCACATCTGAAACTGGACAGATGGGTCAAAGATGAACGGGACAACAAGCTGTGGACGTCAGGACACATTGTGACGCTCCTTCGGATGCTCCAGATCACTTTCCACAGATGGCTCCCTTTAGAGCATCTCAGATGGGAAGGTTTGGCTTCACTGTAGTGACTCATGTCTGTGTTGGGGATCATACTAGAGGAAGAATGTACAGCTTGCATAGGACATAGACTCAATTTCTAATACCACAAACAAATAAGCAAGCAAATGACCAAAGCCAGCCTTCAATCTTCTGGATGTTCTCTGTTCCTGATGAAGCGGGAGTTGGAGTAGGTTACGCAAAGTCACTTTTTAGTTGGGCTTTGGAGCACCCAATCTCAGGTTCTTCCTCTTCATTTAGACTCTCACTATGCTCATGGCTTTCCATCTTTTACTGCTTTGAAAACTTTTAAAATTATTTATTTATGTGTATGTGGGTTTTGTGTGTGTGCATACCAAGGTGCATGTTGTAGAAGTCAGAAAACAACTTTCATGAATCAGCTCTCTCGCCACTGTGTGTGTCCTGGGGTTTGAACTCAGGCAGTGAGGCTTGATGGCAGATACTTTTGCTTGCTGAGCCATCTTGCCAGCCTCTCTTCTTGCTTTTCTTTTTAAATGAATGTCTTAAAGTATTGATTTTAATTGTGTGTGTGTGTGTGTGTGTGTGTGTGTGTGTCTGTCTGTCTGTCTGTCTGAGTTTAGGTTTGTGCACGTGAGTGCAGTGTCCATGGAGACCGGAAGAGATTACCAGATCCCCAGGAGCTGGAGTTATAGGCAGTCATGAACCATCCAATATGGGAGCTGCAAACTTAACCTAGGTCATAAGACTAGTGTGTTCTCATAACTGCTGAGACATGGTGCCTCTGCCTTTCTAAGAAGACAGTGGTCTTATTTATTTGCCCAAACAGTTTAACATCTAGGCTAGACTTAGTCAAGAGAAGAAATGGTTAGGAACCAATTTTCATGTCATCACTTTTAAATATCT